GTTTGTGCCATCTCGCCCGCGTGCCATCACCTATGTGGGGACGACAAATGATTGTCACAGACCCCTCCTTGACGGTTCGTGGGTGTACCGTTCCGTCATATCTGTTAGAACATCGGAAGGTACATTGCCATATTTTGTGTCTTTTTTTTCTTTTTTTTCTTTTTCTTTTTAGTGAGGCGTATCTTCCGATCCTCTAGCGGAACGTTCATTCTTGTCTTATACACATTTGGTGAGTAGTGGAGTGAGGCCCTATCTTCTTAGTTAAAAATAAAAAAGAAGAGACTGAATCCTCCGCTAGAACATCGGAAGATTTAAAAAAAAAAAAAATAGAAAAAATACATTGCCATATTTTTTGTCTTTTCTGCTTGCGGAGAGTAGTTCAGCGAGCCATCGCACTGGCACTTCGGAAAAAGACAAAATCCTGGAACGATCTGCACACGTGTACAGCTAAAAACGGCCATGCTCCAAAAAACAACGAAAGCCTTGCTCAACTACTCACCATGCACAAAAGACAAAAAATGAGGTGGTATAATGGTATTTAAAAAAAAAAGAAAAAAAAAGGTGGTGCATCTTCCCATGTTCTAGTGGAAGATTCATTTGCATTTTGCACATTTCGTGAGTAGTGGCGTGAGGCCCATTTGAACTGCTCACGGGAAACCTACCTGTGCCTCTGCCATGCGACCTCCCAATTTTTGTGGCCCCCTCGCCCCCCCACAAACAAAACACGTCTCGGCTACGTCCCGCCCCAGCCTTGCTCGTCCCGCCTCCGACACCGGTTTCTGCTCAGCCCACGCAAGGCGTTACACTGGGTCATTTTTTTTTATTATTATTTTTTGATGATCGGGTTGGACTGAGGTTGTCGAGATCTTCCCGAATCCACAGAGAAAACAGTGATCTGCTATTGTTTTTTTTCATGGGGTTGGGTTGATGGGGGGCTGCATTTCAGGGGTGGGGGGTGGGGGGTGTTGTGGGGTGGTTGCAACGTACCTCTCTCTCTCTCTCTCTCTCTCTCTCTCTCTCTCTCTCTCTCTCTCTCTCTCTCTCTCTCTCTCTCTGTGATATCCACGCCCCGACAGGTTTCCGTGTGACACACTTTACTCCCACGCGTCAACTTTAAGTGACTTTCGCGCGCCCACTACACTCCGCAAACTTGGGCTCTGCCAGAAGAAGAAGAAGAAGAAGAAGAAGAAGAAGAAGAAGAAGAACTTGAAGAAGAAGAAATAGAAGAAGAAGAAGAAGAAGAAGAAGAAGAAGAAGAACAAGAACTTGAAGGAGAAGAAATAGAAGAAGAAGAAGAAGAAGAAGAAGATAGTAAGAAGAGAAGAAACAGAGGAACAAGAGGAAGACCTACTCTTACCGATGGACGGGGGGGCGGGGCGAGGCGGGGNGGGGGGGGGGGGGGGGGGGATGGCGATTCGAAGGTTGGGGCGGACGTGAGGGGGGCGACGCAGTTGAAAGCAGCGGCCTTGTTCACTTCGGAAGTGACGGATTGTGCTGCTCAAGAGCAGTGGGAGGCGGGAGGTGGGGTGTGGGGGAGGTGGTCGCACCTGGGCGAGCGCGAGAAATAACTGTACCATAGATTTTCTTTTCTTTTCTTGTTCTGCTGTGAGCACTGGGAATTTTGGCGCGATCATCGCGTGAGAATATCGTTTTTTTGAATTTTCAACTAATGTCGCGCCGCCACGAGCTCTCGGAATTGTTTTTTCTGCGGAATTTTCCCTTCCTAATTAGGACTTAAGCTACGAATTTAGGCACCTTCTTAATTTTGCTGCGGGGCGCTCACTGCTTACGCACGCCTTGCCGCGACAAGATCTGGGTTCTAACTTCTTTTTGCGCCTCAATCTTGCACGTAATTATAATTTTTTTGGCGGGTGTGATTGCAACTGTAATCTTCTTGTTCTTGATGATCTTCGTGTTCTTCCCTGTCCCCGCCTTGTGCTCGCCCACGCATGCACACCTTCTTCCCCGACCTGATTGGTTCCTATGCCTGCATGCCTGGATCAATGCGCGGAGAGTGGCTCTGTCCCCCGTGTCACGGCCCAGACATGCAGACGTAGACACTTCCTCTCTTCTCCCTCTCATCACTTGGGGCTAATCTCGTATCCTTCGCGCAAGCCTGCACGCTATAAATTTCGCAAGCGCGATTAGTTTACTCTCTCAGAATGTCGAGGTTAGCGCGATCAGTGAGGGTCGGCTAACGAGCAAGTTTGGAAGGTGAGTAAGTATGAGAGTTGGGCGATCCGACGAGCTGGTGTCGGGTATGCAGGGTTGACGTGCAGGGCCACGGTGGACTGTGGCGCACGAACGGACCTGTTTTCCATGCTCGAACCAAGCGGGGTGACAACTCTGTGTCAATGCGCGGTGACAGACTGCCCCCATCGGGAGCGCAGAGAAAGAAAGAGTGTGGGATACGTTTTATTTCGTTATTCCTTTCTTTTCCTCTGTTCCTCTGTGTAATTTTGGATTCTGATATGGCCAATTTTATCACGACCCTTTGAACTTCTCCTTGCAAATCGTCTCGGATTTTCCTTGTCGTTTGTATTTTGTGTGTGCGCATAAAATGAACGTGAGACCCCTTCACTAGCAATCGTACCGGATTCTCAATCTTGTTTTGCGATGTTTGTTCCAACTCTGCCTACTGATCACTTGTGTGAGCTATACGCTCAAATATGATTGAAAGCGCTTGATTATGGATTTTTGGTTTAGTCATTAACTTTCGATCGACAAAAGTGCTATAAGCAGATGACGACCTTTTCTTTTCCTTCTTTTTTGTCACCTGTATGATATGTGATGGTTGGATCTCACCCAAGTTGCCCAAAAGCCGTAGGGATAAGATATCTGGATGCTGCATGCATGTTGAAAGCGATCTACGCGCTAAACCAACTCGTTGTTTCTCACTTGCACGCTCGCGTACAACTGCGATCTCGAAGAACCCGAGTCGCCACGTACGTGCTCGCCTGCGTAAGTCAGCCTGGAACTCCGTAGGAGGATGCAGGGGACCGAACTTTCTACACGGATATGCCTGCGGAATTCCCCTCTAGGATGTACGATCAGGAGAGTTTGAGGGACCCGGAATATCGCGAATACTGGGAAGGTGAACAACGCTGACGACGGGGGAACTTAAGAAACCCGAAATTCCCCTGTCTGACAGAAAACGACCGACTGTGCGCAGGGGATTTCCCTTGGGCAATAACCAGTGATCCCAGGGGCCCTGACTACCCAGATACGGACAATACTCAATACTACATATCCCCGGGCTTCGTCGTTATTACTACCAGCTTCCCTCCCTTCCATCTCCTCCTTCCATATCACCAACTTACAGAGGTACCGTGGAATTTTATAGCTCGCTATTGGCCTAGCCCACCGTGCGAGAATTGCCAGCGGTACCAGACCCGCCGAACCTCGGGGTCCACCCGGTAAAATCGAACCGAAGCTGAGCGGCGATTGCACCGCCTCCGCTTACGGCCCCTCCCGTTGGATTCAGAATCCTGTTACGAGCGGCGTCGACCACTGGCCGAACCTCGCGACCAACCACGAAGACGAAACC